GTAATTATCAACAATCGAAACATCTACCTAGGTTCTTGGTTCAAACTCTATCAATACCTCTCATACCAAAATCACTGAAAAATGAGTTAATTCAAATTTTTAATAACCGCAAACTGATCGTGATCATTAGATTAGAATAATTTTACTAAGTTGACTACGGATAAGACTAACCGGTGTTAAGTCAGGCCAGTAAATCGAAATGTCCCTGATTCTGACTAAATGTCATTTTATCAATGGGCTTTTAATACACACGTTCAAGATTGAATAACCTTCATCAAGGATATATATATACATCACATTACAAAACCATTAATTAATCAAAAATTTTACCATGACAAATTAAAGGGATTTGGAACAACACATATAAGAGAACAATATTGTCCTAATTTAGATCTTCATCAAGCTCTACACAAATATACAAAAATAAATTAAAATACTAAGTTAATTAAGGCAATTTATGAATCAATGATCGCAATGAACTAGATTCAATAGTTACACATAATAGGTAAAAAGTACAAATCGATAGTAAGAAGATATGTGTACTAGTAGTGCTAAGACTAATAAAATAATAAAAGTTCGACATAGGAAGTGGGTCAAACTTGGACAAATAGACTATAATAATAATCACAGAATTAAATAACCGAAGGGACAGGGATGTTATATAATTCTTCTCAACTAGAGCAATAAATTCATATATTTACAGTCTATGCTATATGTAGGAGACGGGATCGAACCCCCCATAAAACAGATCATTCGAAATAATTTGCTTTCATTTACCACACGGACACTGTCCATCGGGTGTGACAAATTAAAAAGAATAGATGAAGAAAAGAACAGTGCTTTGTAAAAGGGTAATTAGTGTTATTAAGTTACTGTCAATATTACTAATACACATTCAGCAATCCAGCTTAAGAACGTAATACACCCATTATGACATTAAATAAGAAAGAAAGATTAGTTCAGCGAAGAGTTCTCTTTTCGGCGAATTCATTTGCGATTGTACAGCTTTGAAAATGAATTCGCCGAAAAGAGAACTCTTCGCTGGACTAATCTTTCTTTCTTATTTAATCCAGCTTAAGCACTGAAAGTTTATTTTCGTCGTGTTACTTTTATATAAACACTCTAATTACGTGGAGGCAGGAAGTAGGAATTCTCTGGACGTAGTTATAAACACTTAGCCATACGAAAGCAATGTAAGGAGGATGGACTTTTTTCACTCTCAGCCTTATCAGGGCATTTAATGGAACAATTTGACATGCTATTGCTTAACAAAATGCATTTCACCAACATTAAATAATCTATTAAATTATGTACAATTAATGAAACTACTTATACAAATCGATCGTATTCTTCAATGAGCCTAGTTAAATTCCATTAATAACCGATAAATGCTCCTTTAGTAGCTATCAATAAGCTAGTAATAATAGTAGACGTAGTATTTTTTTAAAAAATTATAATGCCCAATTATCAACTATTTACATCAATCAATATCGATGGCTAACTAATAGGATTACTATCCATTTACAGCCAAGATTATCAATAGTTTATTTGAAATGAGATTCAGCCGATACAGACAAATATATTTTAAACTAATGCCGAGTAGTAAGGTAGATTACGATATATAAAGAACGAAAGGTAGTGTTTAAAGTATTTAACATACGTATTTTGATTGATAGAATGGAATGTCAATTATTATTAAAATTCAACGAATTATACATTATGATGTGGATTTTCTAAGATAGATTATTACAGACATTAGTTTTATGAATGTATAGAAAGAAGAGAACAGAGTTAATTAGAGATTTCTGGTCAGAGGTCTATGCTCTACAAGGGATAACAGGCATAAGCAAGTAATAAAAATTTAAAAAAGAAAAACACAATGTAAGTAAAAATCCTGTTACATTTGTAAACAATAACATAATCTATAATCACGGAAAACAAATTAATGAATGACCATTTTCATTAGCAATTTATGGTGCCTAATTGATGATACACTAAAGATTGATTGAAAAAAAAAGAATTAATAGATAGTTTCTATTTGCCCCCGAAAGCCCTGGTACGACGGAGGGTGGTGAAAGTCAGCTCTCCTTCTCGAAATGCTCTCAAGTAGCCACGCGTATACACCACTGCCAGAGAAGTCCTACTCACTACCTTACTGTAGCGGGGGCGTTGTTTACGAAATTGAGAGGACTAAAAGTGAATGTCCGGCGCTTTAACCTGGATGTTGGATAAGGATGGTCCATTTAGAGGAGTTGGAAAACCCTGATTCCACACCAATGGTTCATATAGGCTCTAGGATTCTGAAAGAGCAAATGGCGTATGAACCTATCGCTGCTCAACGGCTACCATGGGACTACATCTCCTGGCGTTACTCCGCGTTCTTGTGGATCAGACCTTTAGGTTGAAAGCTACGGGTGTTGACCCCTATGAAAACCACATGCTTCGGTCCGGACACTCGGGCAGTATCACAGTCCATATATATATAAATGGAATACACTATCAGAGAAACAAAAAACTTTCAAATAGATATTTGATTAAAAAAGACTTAAATATTCCAATTAAAGTTCATCAGTAAAACAAGTAGATAGAACTGTGGTGTATGCTACTAATATTGACAGATATAAGTAGTATGCAATACCAATCGGAAGTGGAATGCATGCCTGTAGAAGATTGAGAAGATTCAGTTGGAGATAACAGAAAGGTAAACAGAAAGAAAGTGTCAGTCAGTCAGTAACAACGTAGAACATCGTACGTACGTACATCAGTTCGAGTTGCCACACCACATTAGCACAGAGATGCAGTGGTCGATTCAAATCCCGTAGTGGTAGAGGTAGCAAGAGTATAAGCAGTAATCGGGAAGATTAGGGTTTGGAGATGTTATTTAAAGAGTATAATCCAGTGAAATAAATTTGGAAAGAGGAAAAAAGGGACATGAAGAATTCAGAAGATTAGAATTTGGGGGAACACAGAGAGTGGATGCACCTGCGCCATTGCAAACGATTTTGAGCCATGTCATTCAGGGTCTCTAACCATCGGTTGCTGTCATCTCGCGGTCCCCAACCAGGTAGTCTACACCTACCAACATGACTCAGTTCACTTGTCAGTGACTTCATGGACTTGAGCCATGTTTTGGTTTGGCCGCCCCTAGCTTTCTTCCAACCTACTCCTATACCACTGAACATAGCACGTCGAGGCAGTCGGTCGTTGGCCATACGTAACACGTGTCCCAGCCATCTCAACTGATGAAGTTTCACTACGTCATCAATTGATTTGCCATCTTTACCTAGTACCCGTTTCCTAACAACTGTGTTACTTACTCGATGGTCCCATGATATACGAGCAATGTTTCGAAGACACCTATGATCGAATACCAGTAACCTACGGATATCCTCTACTCTTACCGGCCATGTTTCACTGCCATAAAGAAGGACGGAACGAACTGCTGCGCAGTAAACACGTCCTTTGGTGTAATAACAAAAGATTTGAAAGAATCATCAGGTATGTAAAGGATGACTGATGAAAGATGTGCAAATGATGTATTTAATGTATGGTTTTCATATTTTATTAAAGAACTGTAGTCTTGCATCAAATAGTAAACTGATCTTCCCCATTTGAGCATTCGTTCACTATAGTACTATACTTTTAAACGTAACATCTGACAGAATTTTAAAAACATATTGAGTTGATTTTTTTATTTAAAAGGTAGAGAGCAGATAACAGATAAAAATGACAACATTTACCAAGTTTTGGCTATTGGTGATACGAGTATTATCATTAGTTTAAGTGATTTTAGTAGCTTTAACTACTTATAGAAATGAAGCGGCAGTTCTATTGACGTCAAGAATTATCTGTTTGTAAATGAATAAAAACCTTTTTTTCACACACCTAAAAATTTATTTGATCATATTCTTCGAATATTAATTGTCAGTGTGATCATATTATGTTGTTTTCTTTTATTTTACAGTAGACATCCCCACAAGGTTGTTGATTCAGTTGACCGACCTTTTTATTAACTATGGGAGTGATACCAGAATACGACCAACGACCACGTAGAGGATAAAGGTAAATATGATAAAAATAATGTTAAATAGCATTTGTAGTAATAAATTAACGATCACAAGTTTCGGTAATCAATTACAGACCACCTAGTGTATGATCTGAAGTTCCACAAAAGATTAACTGTATTGGTGCAACCGAAGCTTCAAAATAAGTACGGGTAACATAAACAAAAAAATGAGATAGTGAAGAAATACAGAAGAGGCATACAGATGAGAAATACATAACTAATGAGTGAAGTATGAGGCAACCAATCGAATATGCAGCTTGAAAAAAACCTACCTATCTCGTAAAACTACAAATTGACTTACAGGTATTCAACATCATATGCAATGCAAATAAAATTCTATGTGATATGTACAAATATTATCAAATAAATACACAAATTGAGATAATAAAAAAATCTATATTAAGAAATCCAAAGCTAATCAATGTAAGGTCGTTTAAACCTTTTCTCATTTGTAGCTACAAACGTATATATCTTCCCTTTACTCTTTTCGTGATACCACTTGAAGTTCTTAGAAGTCGGGTTTTCAACTGCCTTAATCGTTTCATGTTTTTTCTGAACACCAAACGTTTAGCTAGAATAATAAGCATAATTTTTTGTAAATTCATTTAATCAGTTTAAAGCTTTGTAATATCCTTGCACTCTTCAAAGACCTCTCTGGAGAAAATGATCCATTTTGAAAGACGTTTTCCTAAGTGTACTATTTCTGTAACAGCCGTCAACATTTTACAAATTCCCTGAAAGTATTTTCTAAGTTCCCTTGAAACTTTCATGTAACTCAGTGTATTTATTGAATTAACAACATAGATAAATTCCGTTTTTACTGTTTCTAGTTGTTTGATGTATCAGTGTAGAAATTTTTAGATTTAAAATATTACATTTGAATACTATCTGAAATGTCTTACGACAATTTACCAAAAAACGTTATGTCGCTTACATTGTTTTTAAATCGCAGTCACCACACGTCACAAAAGCAAATTGATACGGAATTATCGTTAGATTATTCTCATCTAAAAATGAATCAAACGTCTGAAAAAAAAAGAAATGATACATCGATTAGTCATATTATGAGGTGTTCAAGAAATTGTTGAATCTCATAGTTTACATCACAAACTGATCTGAGTTATACAACCACAAATATCACCAACAGCAGTAAAAAATATCGCAAATTGATTGCAACTAACATATAAATTATTGGATGCCAAGTCAGTGATTTGAAGGTCAAGGATTCGCTAAGAGACCTAAAGTTCTTGGGTTCGATACACGGAGGAGTCGTGAGTGCATACTATTCAGGAATTCAATACTACGAAAAAACAGCTCCCTAGTGTCTCCTAGTAACTAGTGGTTTTTTAACTAAGGTAAATTACAAAAATCATTATGATATGACCAAACATAAGATTTTATTCTGACAACCTTATTTTTGACAAGATGGAAATATAAACTACTGCCTAATTATGTCTTAAAGATAGAAAAATATATAGTTTATCGAATAAACAACAAATAGCATAAACACATGATTTCTTACTAACATTAACGACATTTATGCTAAGCACAAATATTCAACCATCAGAAAATGGAAGCATTAGAATTAATTTTCGTGGTTTCATTAAAGTTTTATTAAAATAAAATTATATATATATATATATTATATGGAGAGGTGGCTCAGTGGTTAAAGGGGCTTCAATCTTAGCAACTAAGCCTCAGGTTCGAACCCTGCTCTATCTACTTCGGTTTGCGTAACCAGGTAGCATCAACAACTGTTGAGTTTAAAATTTGACTGGAATTCAGGTATATGAATATGTGACTTGTGAGTATATATATTTACGTCTGCTTACTTTGAGTACAGTCGGTAAATCCGGTTGATCGTCTACCATGGATTGTATTATACCAGTGAGCTATGAGGTGAAATTTAAAAACGATTATATTTCGATATTGAATAACTATAATTATAATTTACAGGAAAATACGAAAATAAATCATAACAACTGAATACAATTAGTTTTTGACATAGAGAAAAGCCCTAATCTTACAAGATAAATCTAATAATTAAAGGTATATATTAACTTGTAACAAAATAATAAAGAATAAGTATACATGTATCATCATAATGAACTTTGAAACATGTTAGCTATTTATTCTTATTTTATTTTATTTGAACACATAAATATTGTTACAAGGGGGCACAAGACACATATGCGCCACACAATAACAATGAGAACGGGAACAGATAAAGAATGTAAGGTGCGTAAGAAAAAAGAACAATAACGACCACAAATAAGTGTATGGTAGTGAAATAACAATAATAATGGGAGAAACAGAAAGGCACAACCAGAAAGAATTCTTTCAGGTGAAGAAGTTACAGCCACTTTTATAAAGAAAGCAAAAGAAGGTTACAGTAGGACCACCACTGGCTTCTATTCTGAGCCATATGTGATAACGTCTTTAGCCACTGTGTTTCGCCATCTCTAGGACCCCAACGAGGGAGTCACGAAGGTCCAACAGATGCTAGTTCTGTGCAGCTTTCTTCCACACCACGACACCATGTCATACACTGACCAACTCTCCAACCAGTCCCAGCATCAGCAAATAATGCACGACGAGGAATTCTCCGCGATTTATTCCCTTTAATTAGTGACATATTTTTATTTAATCAATATGAAAGTAGGTTTCACATTTGCATTATCATTTTATTAAATTTTATTGATAAAACTAATTTTTTTAATAAGTTAAATTATTATGAAAAATAATGAAAATTCTATGTATTTAGTGATAGTATTAATTCAAAAAAATTTTGTTGTTAAAAATACATGTTGAAATAAAAAAATTATAGGAATTTAAATAATCAATAAATCTGATTGATATATTGATTGATGTAATAAGATCGATAATGTACGATACATGTTTGTTAATGTAAAACTATGTAGAAGTATGGCTCCATTAAAAAGCTACACTGAATTGACAATTTAATTTTTGCGGACTAATAAATAATTAGCAATATATATATATATATATATATATATATATATATATATATAAGGTCAACATCTGAAGGGAAACACGGGATACAGTGGACATCTAGGATGCAGCTGGACGATCTAGACTTCGCAGATGATCTGGCCCTTCTATCCCAAACGCAACAACAAATGCAGAAGAAACGACCATTGTAGCAGCAGCCTCAGCAGCAGTAGGTCTCAATATACACAAAGGGAAAAGCAAGATTCTCCGATACAACACAGAATGCACCAACCCAATCACAATTGACGGAGAAGATTTGGAAGATGTAAAAGCCTTTACATATTTGGGCAGCATCATTGATGAACATGGTGGGCCTGATGCAGATGTGAAAGCGCGGATCGGTAAAGCAAGAGCAGCATATTTACAACTGAGGAACATCTGGAACTCAAAGCAACTGTCAACCAACACCAAGGTCAGGGTTCTCAATACAAATGTCAAGACAGTTCTACTGTATGGGGTGGAAAACCTGGAGAACTACGAAAGCCATCATCCAGAAGATATAAGTGTTTATTAACAGTTGTCTACGCAAAATACTATTAGCAACAACGTACTGTGGGAGAAAACAAACCAGATCCCAGTGGAGGAAAAAATCAGGAAGAAGCGCTGGGAGTGGATAGGACACACATTGAGGAAAGCACCCAACTGCGTCACAAGACAAGCCCTCACTTGGAATCCTCAAGGCCAAAGGAAAAGAGGAAGACCAAAGAACACATTACCACGGATAATGGAGATAGACATGAGAAAAATGAACAAGAATTGGATGGAATTAGAAAAGAAGGCCCAGGACAGAGTGGGTTGGAGAATGCTGGTCGGCGGCTTATGCTGCATTAGGAGTAACAGGCGTAAGTACGTAAGTAAGTAATATATAAAAAATAATAACAATATAATTGAATATTGTAAATCTTTAAATTAATTAAGTGTAGTAATCAATAATATAAATTATTTAACAGTAGAAAATGAATTTGCTACAATCGATGAAGGAAATGATCATCTTGGAGAAGAATATATACATCAATTAATTTTATAGACAAATTGTTAAGAAAAATGAGAAATAATTATCATAACATATACATTGACTTATAGTGTGTATGAAAAACACAAAAACGACAGCTTTACAAATTATAGTACCTGTATAATATGATGATAGTATCCAATGTTTTAGACCAGTATAAGCGCTTAACTTTGATTTGAAAACAAGAAAAGAAATTCGTTTGGAAGAAGTCGTGAAATCTTTTTCAATTTATAACGATTCTTAATATATTCAGCTAACTTTAAATGAAGTACTGGCCATATCAAACTGATTATTGTCAAATAATTAGTGCATTACTTATTACCAGTCTTTTAATATTGCAATACTTTTTAGCGCGTCGTTTATAACCCATTGTAGGAGATAAAAAAGAAGACTGAAACCAACTTGGAGCATTGCGAGAAACTATATTAGCTAAGTGTCTTAATAAGTGATTTATCTAGAGTAACGGAAGTCATTATGAGTAACTGATTAGTCAACATTTCATATGAGAGATAGATTCCTACACTACGATCCTCCAATTGGAGCTTTATCAAGGAAAAAAGCAAGTTTTTCAAATCCTACTTACTTCTGTACAAAAATCGCTTAATGTTGGATTAACAGTAGGACGAACATAGCGATGGAAAATAGCCTCAGTTTGCAATGTAGAAGCATTTATCATGAGAACGGGGAATTCGATAATTTCCTAAAAACATGGAGAAAAAAACATTCTTCAACTATGAGAGTGAAGACAAAATCCAAATAATTCCAACGTCGAAAAAATAATGATTGAAATATTTTGCCAGAATCTGTGAATATTTCATGTTACACATAACATTTTATATTGATGGACAGAAGTTGAGAAACGATGATATAAAAAAAATGAGTTAATTACGAACTAACGACATTGATAAGTGTTAATCTATAGTTGGAAAGTTGTAGAATCATAGGTCCAAACGAAGTTTCACTGTTGCTTTGATCATCTAATTAAAAGCATCTGGATTAATAAACTTTTTATGGTTCGTATAATTTATTTGGCTAAAATGATACTTATTTGTTTGAACACAAACTTGACACAATACATAGCATGAAAGACATAACATATTGTTAAGATTTAAAGAAGACAAAGACTGACTAGAAAGTTATTATGGAGAAGGATGAGTTCTAAAGTGTTGAAATGAATGAATAAAATGAGCTGATCGATAGATAAAACGGATTGATATCATATAGCTGAATGATAATACACAATCGATAGACATGATGAATGGCTTTAATACGAAAAAACTTTCCAGTGACCTCTTATTGTTAACACAGTTTAGAACAACACAGTTTAACCGATGCCAACCTATAACAAAAAATCCACTTTCTTTTCAATCAATTTTGTGAATATAATATTGAACAAAGTGAGTGCTTGAGATTCTCAAAAAATCTTCAGTTTCCTGTATTTACCAAAAATATCTAGTCAGATATAAATGAATAAAGTAAATCTAGAAGAAAGTTATCAGAAAATACAGTTTTAGAAAATAAGCAAGACCACTTCAAGATATCTCTTCAGATGTCTAATTGAAAGCAGAAATACTTAACATTTTAAACACGTAACTGTCTGTTAAACATTAGCCATTAAAGTTAATTGTAATAAATCTGTTGAAAAGAGATAAAGATTGAACTGTAAAACAAATATGAAATTTATTTAGATATAATTTGCACTAATCTTGTTCATGTGTTGAGAAAAACATTGAAAATGCAAATGAACAAGTATGAATAATGAATATATATATATATACCTCGTGAGTCTGTTGCAAAATTGATCTATACCAAGTCATGAGTTACATCTAATATTTATATGACAACAGATTATCCTAATGAGTTAAATAAAGCTAAAACCGATTCGATAATATAATGTATCCAAGCTCAACTGACTGACATCCTACTAAGTAAATATACAAGATTTCTTAAATATACAACTCAATCAATGCAAAGTATTCAGAAAAATGTAAACATTAACAAGAACAAAAAATGAATTATTATCATACAGCAACTGGAATTTTTCTATCTTGTTCACAAGTTGCTTCGAAATCCAAAACCATAAAGTAAGCAAATTTCTGTACATTTTTCATTTGTCCAGTACGGATAGAGTTGAAAATTTTGGTTGCCTAAAATTATTATTATTTTGAATTTCAAAAGAATAATAATACAACATTAATGTGAAAGTATAGTATAAAAATGATAAATTTTAAACAATCATTCAAAATACCATGCATAAAGAATTTTATACGTAACATAATATCAATAGAAAGCAATCTGAAACAGTTATATATTATTTGAATTATCTTACAGCTGACGCGTCCCAAAATAAGACGAAACGTGAGTCCTGAATTTCACTGCTAGCCACAATCTGTCTATTCTAAACTATATATTGTTTCATAAACTTTAATTGTTATAAAGAATCAATCAGTGATTAAGTTACATTTGTTGGTTACTGTAGTTTGATTTTATAATATAGTGCATTGTGTTCATACGACAAGTCATTAATCAAGTAATCTATAATACTACTGTAATAATTTCTCTTATTACGACCCAGCTACTCTTATTGCTTAGTAGTCTTGGACACTACTTCACTTGACAAGTACCCAAATCAGAACATGGTTAAACAGAAACGTAATTATATTCCAAATAACAAGGTTGAAAGGAAGTAGGAATCACAATAAAAAAAACGTTAGTACATTTATAATTTTTACATAAGAAGATTCTAGAGTCTTCTCCAAGTCTCCACTAGCGCTGATTGGTCGGGAAATAATCAATCACTGTGTTCGAACACAATCCTGCACGGAACGTACTTTAATCTAGTCTATATCCCGCTAACAACTACCCCAGTTCAATATATATTCAAATAAGAATATTGTTCAATATGAGTAAAGCTTAGCGTATTCAGACTTAGGTTTTGATCTATTTCGGGGACCTAACAAGCCTATATTTATAGCTTTTGCCTACTTTCTTGCATCGAACTATATCAGTCATCCAGTTATGATATTAATAACTCTCTCAATATACAGTGAGAATTATCTTCCTACAAATTATACTAAAGATTTCCACAAAAACATTTAGACAAATGAATTCACACTAATTAGAATGACTACACCTTTATTTACCAAATATAAATGACCGATATGTTACTAATCACGTATTCGGTTATAAAGAATGCAAGGTCTAATACGAGTTTGTATCGATCCAAGTCAAACCTAACGCTGAAACAATGAGAAAGAAGGATGACAGCAAGATGAGCGGAAAGTTATATTGATAGCAGTACCAAACTCAATGTAAGAAGCATAGCTTAGAAGAACAAACAAGAATGAAAGTATGGGATAAATATAAGCTCAACATTTAGAGAAAGGTTAGAATGAATGCACAGAAGCTATTGTAACTGATTATCGATAATTCCACACAATGTTTTCAACCAAAGATAAAGATCATTATACAGACCTCAGCATGAATAAATCTGTTAGTTTGAACATTTTGGAAGAATACTTCATAGGTTAGTGCTATTTTGTCATTTGACTGCCTCTAGTTTTCTTCTCCTACACCAACCACTGTTATATTAACTGTTAATAAGTTAATTATTTTACTAGTTTTCGCAAAGAAAAGTTAGATTTGACGTATTAACTCTTAGAAACATTGAACAACTAATAATTTCGTGATACAATCAATAGTGACAACAGTTATAAAAATAGTAATTATAAATAAAGGCAAACTAGTAAACTAAGAAAAATTATTAATAAAGATTTAATTTATTTAATAGTTAAAACAAGTATTCAGTCAATAAAAACTTCCACTGTATATTCTAATATATCCATATATCTATGGATATTTTTAACATCCTGTTGTTGACTGAATGATTATTTGTTTCTAATAAGGTATTTTACTTAGATTACTTAAAAATTTAAATCATTTCAGTAGTTTGAGTAATGATTCACATCACATATTTTCTAGATATCGAGAAAAGTATAATCAAAGGAATAACACATTCAAAATAGAGGAAACTTTCGTTTGTTTTTGGCACAAAATTCAAAAATAACTTATCTAATATCATATTAAAACCTCAATAGTAATATCTTTGTATATTAATCAGAAATGTGCGAATTACGTTGAAATATATTTTGTTTTACTGCATAATCAAAATGATGTTAAATGTATATATATTGGTATTCCAAAATATAGGAAATAGCAGTAAATAATTTTAGTAAGCAACCTTAATTCATAGCATCTTATTATTATAACACCAGAGAAGCACGACGCATTGATCACGTATAAGTTCATATAAACAGGCTAAAAGTTACACTCATTACGATGGTTAGTAATGTTATCCGATACTGTCTAAAACAAGTCGTTGTTAGTTTAGATCTGTACACCGATACCCAATAAACCACACGCATCTTATGTGAGTAATTTCCGCGCTGCTTTTAGTCTTGCCGTTCTTCAACAAATCTGCCTGACATAGTAGGACCTTGAGGAACGAATGTTCCAGCCAGTATAGTCGGATCGGTTCATCATAATGGACAAGCCCGACCAGCACGTCAAGGTAGCATCAACGGTCGGAATATATATATGCCAAACTATGATGCGATATATGAGAAAGGGGTGAGTTCCGTACATTTACACAATCTCTAAAACCGGATTAAGTTGACATATCACAACTACAGTATTGAAAGAATCAGCAACTAAAAATAAAGCATACGCACAATCGATTATTATGAAAGGTCAATATTACAAACTAAGAAAACTTAAGATCTAAAACGGAACCCCCAAACCTTATCAAGACAGTACAATTAGATCCCTCACAGATTTGCTACACCACAGAAATCAATCAAATTTAGGGCAGAAAAAGATTATAGTTGACCAAAGCAATTTACGATAACCAGACTATCGAGTTTAAATTTTCAAGCTGAATTAAATCCTAAAATCTACAGCACGAAATAATAGGATCCGTAAGGCGGATGCATTCCAATCCCTGGTGTTGTTGAATCTTTCATCTATCTAGTTAACTTTACCTAAAGGTTTTTCTTATTGTACTAGCCTGCTTTCTTGAAGTATCTGGATACAGCAACGCTTGTACCATATTCACTGTTGTATAACAGGATGATTTTAAAAATGTCACCCCCACTTACCCGCCCCCCTATGAAAGTTCCACCTGACTAACATTTTCGAAATTAGGGAAAACATCAATAAGAGCGGAAAAGAATAATACCAAATAGCAATTACTTGTGAATCTGGCAAGACGGTTTAACTCATCTCATAAAGTTAAAAAGAACGCAAAATCTTAGCCTAATTAAAAAAATGATATTACGTAGTGATATACCATGCACTTATTTGTCCTCTCTAATATGCAGCTACTTTAAATATCTCAGATAAAATTTGTTCGTCATATCGATTTCCACTATACCTCCCTTTACAAATTGACACAACTATAACCAGAACGTCATTACTAAAGTTCTTGTGTTGCTTAGTATGTAAATTTCGAATATTGACGCACAACGTAGTTTATATTTATACTAGCATTATTCAACTAATAGATAACACGACAATTACGTTAAACAGAAGTCTCTCGGGGGCGGGATCGCGGATGCGCACTGCTGAGAAGTCACATACTAGGACGAAACGGCCGTCCAGTGCTTCCAGATGGTCTAGCTTCAATTGACTCATGATTTCAACTACTGAAATTACTAAAATCTCCACTAAACCCCTTCTGATAAACAGAAATAAGTACTAGAGTAAATGAAAATATCTAATAAACGAGTTAGAACTACAATACTACGTCCGTTTTCTAAGACAGGAAAACTTCTGGGTAAAATAGGTTATCTATCATAAGAAAGCACTGGTTGAACAATTGGAAAGTTACCATAAAACCCTTTATTATGTAGATTTTAAAGTTCCAAAATGAGTGACCTCATGAATATAAAATAATAATTAGAAATCAAATATCACTTAATTTCAGACATGTTTGACATCAACAAATGATGAGAAAAGAAAAACACTTTGATATATATGGACATATTAAATTTATTCACAACATGCAAATCTTATACAAAAACATGAAAAAATTAGCATGGTAGATATATGGGAATCTAGTTAAGAAAATGAATCGTCTTAATCCAACCACAAAGAATGCGAAATCATATTGAATTCATAATACGAGGAACGCGAAATATACATTTCTGTGACTGACAACCTCATATAAAACAAATAGCGATGCTTGTCACATCTAACAATTATCAATTCTTTTCAGCAACTTTTTTTCTATTTCACGAAGATTTTTGTCAAGAACACCAACTAATGCTTTAAGGGTCAAATGGCTCATTAAAAAGAAAAGGAACAGCTCAAAGATATGTAAGCACAAAATAAAGTTAGAAGGACTTAAACGCAGTTCGAGAAATATCACATTATATCTCTTAGTTATGATAACAGAATCAAGATTTTACAATTATTCATTACATTTCGAACTCGCTACATCACTACAATTCAAGCTTAATTGTATTAGCCTGTTAATTGAAAGGTAGATGATCAATAATCACTGGAAACATAAGAATAATATCGGCTGAAATGGAGAACGAAACCACTTTTCGAACATGAACAACTCCTATCAAAATATTATCCTCTTCACAATTATATTCCTTGTCTCAATAGTAAAGATATCATACTCATAAATGATTGCTTTTTCACATTCACAAATAACAAGTTTGATGAATCTAGCAAATGCATAGTAGATCTGTATTCATTGCAAGAACATACCACAAGTTATCATGTTCCCTGCTTTCTATGAAAATGGAATGGCTTGCTTCATTTGGTAAACAATATTCGATATTCACTAGAAACAAGAGAAGCTTAAGCAGTCAAAAAAATAATATATGTCACCGACCAATCATTAAATATATATATGCATCGATTGTGTGCATGATTATACTAGTTCCGTGTCAAAAAAATACGACCATGATTATTTCATTAAAAACATTTACACCAACCAGAAAAATAATAACAAGTCAAGAAAGAGTTAAGAGTATTAACAACTGAATAAGATGGATGGTAAGATACCAGATTCTCAACAAAACAGTTTCATATAAAGATATTTTTTTGATTGTTTAGTTAAATTACGTTCAATCATG